ACTAGTTAATGAGGAATATGCAATGGACAGGCAGTATATTTTAAAGTAATCGCTCCGGTAGCAAAAGGCGCTATGCTATGCACAATTATAGCTTTTTCACAAGCTGAGGTTGAAAATCTTAAATAAAAAGTAGTCTAAATAACTTATCTGAAAGAATATTTCAGATTAATCTTAGAATTAATTTTCATTATTTTCCCTATCTGGAAGAAGTAAGGGATAAAAGCATCAATGATTAAGACGGTTATCCAACAATAGCACCGTCTGTTCATAGGGTACAGCTCACTTATCATACAGTATTAAGGACATATGGAAGATGACTCACAGTCCTTTTGTTCAAAAACAAAGATTCTAATATAACTGATCACAGCATCGAAACCAAATATTTTTAAATACACAATAAATGCAGCCATCATATGCAGTTTCAAGGGTAGCCATTTGCTCAGCATGCACTGAACGCGGTAATCTGAAATGCGCTTTCGAGAGCCGCTATTTATTTATAAAAAGAGACCACCACTGCGATGATTTTGACCAGTGATGAGGTGACAAGTTCACAGAATTGACTCTACTTGCTAAACCCGACAGCAAGTATACAGTGGGCATATAGAAAGCAAGTTGGCTCTGGTATATTTAACACTTGCCGCTGCCGAGCTTCTGAATTTAGTCGGTAAATTTTGCTTCATCTGAAAAAATATTTTGATGTTATTACCGAGGATCTAAAAGAAACGAAAGTGCTGAGAATGGATGGAAAGGACAAGAAATGCAGCTTGAAATAAAATAATCTAAATGTAGTACGTACTAAGAACTGTTATTCAAAACAATATTACAACATAAATGTGATAAAAATACATACATTCACCAATGAGCTCTTGATCCACGTATATGCCAACGACATAAACAGGAGTCACGGTAAAACTGCCTGATTGTCTCAATAACCTAACAATGAACAACATTTGAACATATAGCAAAAAAAGAGCAATAGATTTAAGACACAATTAAGTTAGTCTGTTTTCTCCTTGAAAATAGTTGGTCCTTCCATATCGCTCAAAATTTGTAACCGTGGTAACCGTACAACAGGAGCATGATAGAAACACTGAGGCTATGTCATTCTGTTAGTTATCAGAAATTAGAGGATTCTGCAATTATAAGATGATCACAAACTAATGAAGCTACAATGCAGAACAATAAATCACCGAATTCGAAGCAAATACCTACGATGTATTAAAACTCATCTCTCTTCGAAAGACTTTGTCATAAGCTATCGAATAAACGACCATTCAATATCTGCAGTTTGTTGCCAGCAGAGTTAGCAATCGCTTTAAGACATGAGTTCTCAATAGGCCCTTGTTCAGCCATTCCCAGTGATTCGGTTTAGCATCCATGCACTGTAAGTGCTCAAATACCATGAAGCAGTAGCCTGCTTAAATGGTCTCCTAGGCCGGTAGAAGCAAGGTGGTGGTACCGATACACCGTTTAAAGAAAATTTTTTTCCAACGGTAGTATCGAAAACTAGTATTATGCTAGTAAACCTGTAATATCGGGGGACATTGTTAAGTATAAAAACTAGCTTTCTCGGTAGTCGCTGTTCAATTTGACCCGGTCATAGTCACAGAGAAACTTATTGCCAAATCTACACCATTTCAATAATAAATTGATCTGCCAAAAAAAGACATTTTTTTTGTAATTATATTTTTGCATCAGTATCTTACAGTAGTTACATTCCATAAATCACACTGATGGAAACCGAAAATGACGAAAGTATTGATTTGCACAGTGCCACTGATCTGACAGGGAATGACAATTAGTGTTATCTCAGTCATCGTGGTAGCCAAGAAGGACCGCAATCTACAGCAACGTTGTAAATTAATGAGGTAATGGTAACTAGGGCTGCGAGACCTCCAGTTAAGGGAAATAATTGAGAAAAAGGAAGCTCACCAACGTCGAACTAATGAATAAAGGCTCACTATCTGTAAGAAAGGAGGCGAGCGGAGCGGATGTGCCAAATTTTGAGCAGCCTAGGCCTGAAAGATTGCTAAAGATGATTTTGACAAACACACCCATCTTTACGAAATAAAGCAAGTCCTCTGTTCAGGGAAATAACGACAAACTGCAATTTTGGATGTGTCGATCACACTTCAGAGATCTTGATCGCTCAAATGGAGTGAAGGAAGTATATGTCCATTTCGTACCGCTGTCTACCCAGTGCCTCCTGATTGCCTTTCAGCGCCACACATGCCATTAATTTACTTTTACACAGTAAACGGCTGAATGAAACGATTGAACCGTACTTTAAGAAACAATACAAATAATTGAACCGAACCGTTCATTCCGGTTTTGTTATTAGAGTATCATCATCATACATAAATTTGCTTTAAATGCACAACAAATCCATAAATCCCCAAATCGCTTATACCCAGCTCATGAAAAACAGCACATGAACTATTAATTAATCGTTAATTCACACACTTTTTCATTTCATTACAGAATACGACATTTATATTGGGTGGATTACATTCAATGATTTTTCCATCAAAAAAGATCAGATCATTTACCTAGGTTCCGGGAAAGGCCGATTATCTTTTGCTAACAGCTGCAATAAGATGTTGAACGGGTCATCCAAATACCACAGTTCATTCACGTCCAGTTCAATCAACTGCGTCAAAACGAAATCCTGCACGAATATCTCAGCCCTGCTTTCGCCCTTAATATCCGTTACGGTTTCGTAAACATGTTAGAATTACACAAGGATAATTTACCGAGTCTTTACTCAGGGCTCCAATCACGGCACTGAACGCTTTACACAAAACGTCTTCCTCGGGAGGATAAATCTTAAATGCTCATGTACGGTCTCATAATGGTTAACATGCAAAAATCATACTCACCGCAGACTGTATCAAGTCCAGCAGGCCAAGAGTTTTGCTTAAGTTAACGAACGACTCGTTGGACGTCAAATGATTTGATACGGCACTTAAAACACAAACGTAACGAACTAGCATTGATAGAACAAGCAGATCGCGGCGAAACAGACTAAATGCAAAAACACTGAAATTACTTTAACCTTAACATTTATTGCTAACATTGGCAATCAGCAAATTGAAGCTTTTGAAACCTTCACCCTTATAATTTTGATGGTTAGTAGTTCCTTCGCTGTATTGAAAGAGTGAAGTTATTCATACATGGTTGTCTTTATCTGGTTGTTGTGCTAAAGCCACCCCTGAATTCTATGCACGATTCCCACTAGAGAACAGCCTTAAGCAGATTTCAGAGCCAATGCAACAAATAAATCTAGAGGACCGGTCTTTCAGTTTTTTGCGACTGATCGTCGCAGGTATCAGATTGTTTGGGACAGTAGTACCATCGCATTTCAAGATGACTCTGTAGGTAGTGGCTATGGAATCTGTACAGAAAAGCTCAATGCCGTGGATGATTTTCATTGTTGTTCTTGCGTAATTTACTTTGAACTTCTAGAGTAAGGTGATTGTATAAAGACTAGCTGCTAAAATATGATTTGAGGTGTTTTTATCAACGGTAGGCAGAAGATGAACAGCACATCTTATCAAAGGCTTATCAATTTCTGACCAGGCATGACTGATGATACCTTGAAAGTGTACCTACTATAAAACACTATCTTATCCTGAACAAAGGCTTGTGTGTACTGACATTAGGAGCATTCCTCCTACTAACTGAGACCTTTGAGAATTTAACGAGGTAGTCCTGTGAACTATCTTTCTTTAAAACAAAAAAACAGTGCGTTTGCATTTGAGAAGGTTGATTAGGTTAATCCATCGTTAATCGACCACAACTACAAACGTATTCTAGTCATTCCATCAATTTATGCAGTCGCCTAGGACTAGGCCAGTATCTCAAAAGCTTTTTCAGTTATGTTTTACCTGCCTGGTTTGTGTGCAATACGCCTGCCTAGATATATGTACAGAAATAAGAAATAAAGTCTTTACCAGATTCCCTCTTCAGGAAATTTTGAAAGATGATAACGTAGATAAGCCTTGGTATAAACATCAGCAATTTTTTTGCCTGCAAACAATACTAAATATTGTTAAGAACAAAATAACGAACAGTACCTACCTATTCGTGACAGATCTTCGTTATGACGCAACTCAACAGAAACAGCGTGTTCGCCATGTCCCTCAGAGAGTAGTTCCTGCTGATCTTCTTCGATCTTTTTCAGATAGGAAGCGTCCATAAACGCTTGTTTTAAAGTTTCCAACTTAAAGTTTTCGCCAAGCCGTTGACCGAAGGCAAAAACTTCAACGTCGTAGTCCCTAAACAGGCCATTATGAAAAGTTTGTCAGTCAGTTTGAAGAAGTCCAGTGACAGTACTCTTCTACAATGATTGCAAATTAGTTGTACACATCTTTATCGAGGGCCAACTTGGCAAGGCTTTCTCACCAATTTTGTTAAAACTTGTCTTCACAATTCATAACCACTTATTAAAATCAATAATTTCCTTCGGTTACGCAAGGTATTTTACCAGTTAGGCTTTGAAGCTCTTGGTGAAGGTTCATCAGGACCAATCAGTATACGCCGTCCCCAAAGATCCTGAAGATACTGCCGCTTCCATCGGCCCTGCAGACGTTCTAAATATTGAACAATAAAAAAGTTACTGCTATAAACATACTGTTAGGGCAATTCGTACTCTGAAGGTGAACGATACCGGAATATCGAAGCAGTCTACCAACCGATGTAATCATCACGTCAGCATTGTCAGGTCCGGTTGATTTATTGCTAAACACATTTAATAATAAAAATGCATAAATAGCAATGCAAACAAATCAAATTAACAAACTGCACACCACAAGCCTAAAAAGGATCGCAGCCTAAAACTGATAGATCTAAAAACAAAATTCAAATTCATTTCAACAAAGGTAGAAGTTTGTGACTCTGCAACTGCTGTCCGGATAGCACAAATTATGATTCATAATTCAAGACACAAAAAAATTCAGAACGGTTCGGTTGTGCTGCTAACCCTAACGCCTGCAGATGGATTGGAGTTGCTGATTTTAAAGCAATTCCATCCAGGTCGAAGGACGAGGTGTTTCATTATGTTCGTTTTACACCAGATGATTTGAACCATAAGCCAAGACAAGGTTGCAATAAGAAACTAAATATTCTAAAGTCAGAAATCCTCTCCTGAAATCCATCACGAGAGCACGCGATAGAGCAAGTAAATCGCTAGCGTAATGCTGAAACAGGTTGATGCATAATTCAAAGCCTTCGTGTTCTTCTTCAAGCCATTTGTCTAGCTGCATTTCCGATCTAATCTCATAACTTTGAAAAGAAAAAGTAGCGCTCAATGTGCAGTGCGATCAAGATAGCAATGGTTGAAGAGTTAAATCTGAGAACAAAACTGAATGACATCAATGAGGGAAATAGAAATATAAGCAGCTCCATCAGACGTAATGATATCGACAAATACAGTAAACCCAAAGTAGCGTTAACCCAAAATCAGTTTAGACCAATTCCGTGTCGTACGAAAGTCTACAGACGCAGTGTACTGTCATTTCCCGTTTAGTGACTGTACGTATGCCTTAGTTCTCTAAAAATTCGTACATTCCTTTATTATTAAATTCGCCAAAAGCTCTGTTTTTTAGACAATTGGTTCAAAGACTTATGGTTGAGGGCACCCAACACAGTAGACGGTAAAAGATTTGCTGCCAATGCATTTCACTACATCGTAGTGATTGTAGCAACATCAAGGCTGGCCTGAGCACAGCTGCTGCTTGAAAGTACTTATATCCAACAAGGGAACAATACTACTGTTTTCAAACTGGCGCATAATTTATAACAGAGACCTGTTCAACAGCCTGACCCGGATATTAACCAGCAAGCACGATGTAAAGGCCACATTAAAAATGCAACCGCCTGCGTGTAATGTTGATCCGATTCTGCGTATCAAATTCGCGATTGTGCCCCAGATTTGACTAACAACTACGGATTATGTGTATTCATTGCTAGTATATGCAAGGACTCCTTCTTCAGAAGGCGTATTTTAGAATGGTCTTTGCTATGACAGGCACATCAGTCTGATTGAAAGGGTGCTTTTCGGTGATCGCATGCTGGGCAACACCGGAACTATCCGCTTGTCCAAGCAGTACTGCAGATAGGTGCTCTTTGATTTGAATGTTCAACTTCCGGTAGGTCTTTCCATTGTATACCTAATGACAGTCAGCACACTGGACTTTATATACAATATTTAGCACCTGCTTCAAGTTAGTGGACACGTACTTTTTGCCAGCCTTCTGGCCAAAATATTGCTCATTGTTATGCCAGTCTTGCAGTGGGCATAAAACCAAATGTCTTTAACGCACCTTCTGATAGAAATCGACACCTGGGGCATGAACAGTAAAATTACCATTGGTCCACATGGTCTGGGCGTCGTTAAATTTAAGCTGCGGTTCAAATGTTCATCGTCAAGAAACCATCCTCAGTAACAATTCTTTAGAAACGTTTGGCATAGATGTTGAATCTCCACGTCTAGGCAAAAACTGATTGTACACGCTTCCTCGGCTCGCAGACGCATATTCTTCACAATGATCCTAAGCATATCAGGACAGACACATGATGCGGTGTGGAAGTATCGATTGGAGTGGGATGTTTTGCGATAGATGAATACTTGAAATTCAAACGATGATATACTCTTCAGCAGGACGTCCAGAAAGGATATTATAATTCACATCCGCTTCAGTGGTAAAGCGCATTCTGCCACTGTCATCTCATCCATTCATGTAATCCGCGAAGCATTCCAACCATTTCTGTTCGTCCTCATTTCGTTGAATAGGAAAATGTTACCAACGAATTGGACAAAGAAAAATAGCCTAACTTAATGCGGGCGTTTACCTCCAAATGATCTATGTAAATATGTTGAGACTGCTAAAATATCTGGTGAAGCATAAACGTATCTTAGTCTCCGACAGCAACCTTCAAGTCGCCGGTCTTTTACTGTATCATTATGCAATAAAAGCTGCAGAAACACTGCGGTCCCGATAGCATGTCCTACGCGAATACTTTTATTCTTCTTAACCAACACTACCATCTTTCCTCGTCTGGGCGTCCTAACCATGAATTAAGAAAATGTCTGAGGCATAAAGCGAAACCTCTACTGAACCTAAACACCTTTTCAAGAACAACTCAAAAATACGAAGCACCCTACTCATCTTTGTCATGCATCATTTATGACTAGACCTCAAAAAGCGTATAACGAAACTACTTTTTAGTATCTGTCTTCAGAACAAGTTTACTTCATTTAGAGATTTAAAACAATAAATAAAAAATGAAAGTTTTAGTTACATCGCGACTTAAAATGTACGTCAGGCTTTCGCCAGAGATACTCATAAACGACCACAGCTCTGCTTTCAGTGTCATAGCGTCTTCAACACTGTCTTCCAGGACGTCGGAGACGACCATGTTGTCACAGAAACATTTATGCCTTTGCTTATGATTTTCTCAAAGCGTGAGGTTCGCCGGTCCTGCAGCAGAGACCAGTTTGAAAAGTCTAAGATACAGTCGGCCACCATTAACCACAGAACTCTGACAATGAAGTTTTGTTCAATCTCCATGACCACAATAACAATGAAAGTTAAAACCAAATTACCAATGCTAAACAAATTCCCACAGTAAATACTTGACTTACTCATTACATTGAGTTTCTAATTATAAAATTAGTCATTTCGACGAAATATCTCAGGACGTCCTAAGTTATAATATCATTGCAATCATAACAGTCAATAAGATATCACCTGTGACAAACCACACATAAAGAGATTAACAGAGAAATCAAATCTCTAATATGTTTTCCGCAATCAGTAATTAGCAGTGCGTTTGCAATCAAATTAACATTCACTTTCAAACCATGAAAATTTTCCTGGTAACAAAGTCAGGCTATGTGATCGCTTCATGGTACACATCATCCATTCACGACCGCCAGAGCAATTTTAAAAAACACCTTTCGAGGTGTTATACTTATGAGCTTCAGCAAATTCACCGCGTTAGCGCCGACATTAAGTTAACAAAGAATAGTAATACCTCACTATAATATGACTGAATTCCTTCATACATAAATTCACCTTCCACCAAGCTCAGTAAAGCAGTAGCTACAGATACAAATGCTGTCATAAACTCATCCAAAGAAACAAACTGTCAGCAAACGCAATTTCATGATTAAACATAAGTAAAATTAATGACAACTGTAAAGACAGTCAACAAAAGCTTCAAAATTTATTTTGTTATGAAATGTCACCGGATGGCAGGAAAGCATTAATGAGCTTAAATCATAACAATGTACAAAAAATAATACAAGCAGAATGTAAAACAACGCTGGCTAGTTGGTGAAGTAGAAACGCAATTTCAACAAACGGCAAAATCAGGTAAACGATTCATTAAGAGATATGGAACTGGCTTTATTTAGGAGTGAGTTCGACGTAGTTCGCGGGAAATAAACCGTACTGCCCTTTACACATACCGCGCCACCAACCTGGGTCGACCTACAAAACAACTTTCAACAAGAAACGGCTAAAACACCAGACTATTACCATATCAATGTTCGTAATAATATCATCAGGCTCAAAAGATATTTCGTCGACGTCTCCTTAAAAATACACTGTTATCAAACGAAGCAGCCAAA